TAAATAAAAATATTATCTTTCTTCCTCTTTCATTTTTATCTATCCAAACAAAACTAATATAAACTCTTTTCTTCCCTTCACTTCTACTCCCTTTCCTTCTCCTCTCCTCCCCTTCTTTTCCTTTACTAATTTTTCCTTTACTTCTTTTCCCCTTTTTAAAATTAATTTTTTAACCCACTTTTTTTTTTTTTGGAATAATCCCTTGAAGGTACGGTTCATGATCAAATTATTAGTAAAAACCTATTTTTTAACTCTATATCTTAATAAATTTATAAGTTTTAATTACTTAATTTATATTATAACATTTTTAATCTCTCATTTATACAAATAAAAGAAAATTTCTCTTACTTAACATAATATTATAATATTCATCTTTGTTAAGAGTCAGCTGATAGATTGTTAACGGTGACAAGGACAAAATTAATGAAATATTAACAGTCAACTGATGAACGTTATAAATTGACATTAAATAAAAGTTTTTTTTTAATTTATAAAGGTGGTAAGTTATTTTTTTTTAATTTATAAAAATAAAATATTAAAAATATCATAATATAAAATAAAAAATTAAAATTTATAAATTTATTAAAATAAAGAGTTAAAAAGCAAGATTTTATCCAAATTATTCAAAGGAGGATGTGATAATGTGTTGCAGGGTGATGTTCGAAAGAATATACAGTTTTGATAATAAAACGCAGGGTGATGTTTGAAAGAATATACAGTTTTGACAATAACCCTTTATTTTGATGCGTAGTAGTTGGTTGACGGATGATTTTTCTAGACGGGAGAAAATGGGAGGAGCAGATTAATTGATGGGTGCGTGGCATGTGCGTAGAACGCGTTGCAGTGAGAGGCTATGGCATATCCACGTTAAGGCCTTGTTTGCTCGGTGACGAATCCTTCTTTAGACCATAAATAAAAATAAGACAAAAATAAAAAGCCTACTTCTAACTTTTTAAGTTAGAGATTAACAAATAAACATGAGAGAATATTTTAAAAAATATATTATGTAATTTATAATGTATTAAAATATAAAATATTAATTATTAAATGAAATATATTTTTAATATTAAAATATTTTTTCATTTAATATCTCATATTTTACATAATATTGTGATTTGAATTGCGAAGGTTTTTTTTTTTTTTACGTAAATGGAGAGGGCTTTTTAGGATGAAACACTCAATTTGGTCCCTATACTTTAGAGAAAAACTCCTTTTTGATTCTATACTTTTAAAAGATTTGTTTTTAATCCTCATAAAGGTAAAGATCAAATTATCTTGAAATTTTTTAATAACAAAGTATCTTATTTTTATGTACTCAGGTGCTTGGGTGCCTGAGTATGGGATCAAGGCGTTGTTGTGGCTGTCGCTCAACTTAGATTTCAAGATTTAGCAGCCGTTGGCCTTCGTAGAAGGAAAGATATCGACCAAGTTAACGATGATTTCTCCAATTTCTCTCTTTCTTCACCGGCGACCATGATTCGCCGCCTGCTATGCAATTTTTCCCGCAATTTTCTCTCTTTATGCATCTAATTCTTATGAATTTCTACTGCATTGGAGTGTTTTGGGTTTTACTGGGGTTTAGTTTGAAGTGGGTTTTTGTTTTAGTTTCTGTAGGATGCGGAGTTGCTGCCTGGAATTGAGGAGAATGAAGAGAGGGCGGTTGTTCTGTTCAGGCCAGTTAACACCCATCTCCTGCACTCTCCTTCCCAGTTTTCTGTGACCGTTGATTCTGGGGATAAATCCCTTAAACGCCCCTAAACTTGTTATCTTTGAGGGCGTTCATCCCTAAACCTAAAACTTGAGAGTTTAGATCCCTCAACTATAAAGCTTGCTAAGGAATAACCCTTTCGTTAAACCACCGTGAACAGGCAAAATGGAAAACTTACTGTTAAGTCCTTTAAGTAAGAATTCCAATATAGCATTTTGGGATACAAATATAAATTGTTGTCAGTTAGTTCTTGAATCTAAAGAATTTAAGCAAAGTAGTTGTTATACCCATAACTCAAACTTGGAAGGAAAATCAAGATCGTGTAATCCAAAATGAATCCCCAATCATAGAGGATTCTTAGGAGATTTGAATTTAAATTGCTGTTAGGATTTGTTAGGACCTTTGATGAGTTTGGATCTGAAGATAATTATAAGGATTATTTGAAAAACTTTCTTTAATCTTAATATTGTATTATAATTCTTGCACTTTCTCTTATTTATTAATAAAAGCTTGATTACTTCGATATATTTCTTCTTTAAGTTATTTTTTAGTAATAACAATTGTCATAATAATACCAAAGATATTGAAGGAGTACTAAATTTCATTTTAGATTTATTATATCATGTATTTACAAAAGTAAAAAAAAAAAAAAGAGTAAAGAAAAAGAAAAAATATTAAAAACTTTTATTAAAATTGGAAAATTAGATCCATACACACACTTAGTTTTTATACACTCAAAACTCTTAAAGCACACTCTTCAACAAACTTACTTTGACTTCCACAATAATTCCCACTCTTATTTACAAATGCAATCCATGCTCTTTTATAAGTAGTAGGGGTAGAATTCAAATTTGAACTTCACACTTAGTTTTCTAAGAAAAAAAGACTATAATATAATTATTTAGAGTTCAAATCTAGACTTCAATACACTCTTAGAGTATTACTATTATATGGTTGTTTACTTTATGATAAGATTCTTTAATGGTTTTTATTTTTTTATCATGTTTTTTATGTTATGCCACTCTTTACCTGTTATGTTCTCTCAATAGTAGTTATCATCATAATAGTCATCTTTTGAGATATTTTCTTCATTGTTGTTTTCTATCATCATTTCCTTCTCACAGCCTTGGATGTTGACAATTCTTCATCATCCAACATTGCAACTAACTTTTCTTCAATGTCCCCCTAATTCCCTTCTCTTCTTTGTAGTGTAGTGTGTATAGGTTTTCTCAATTCATAGTACCTTTTCATATATTCTCTACATTGGTCTATAATTTCAAGCATTGTATTTCCTACATCATTTCAGAATTTGTGAGTTGTCATATGGTTTCTTTCAACCATAATGTTAGCACTTTAAATATTGGAACTTAAGTACAATATTTAAGAAGCTTCAAGAACCTAATTGTCAACGAAAAAAAATCCAAAAGCAGGAAGGTGACGCTAAGAGTAACGGTCAAAGTCAAAAAGTTTAGTGAAGGGGCTAAAACCCTTATATTTAGTCAGTTAAAGGGTGAAAAACCTAACTTACAAGATGAAGTGCTAAAGGTCTTAAAGACGAAAAATTTAAGGGCTTCCAGTGGGTATAAGCCTTGATTCTGAGATTATCTCGGCTTTCAGAGTAGGCATATGTTTTTGGTTTAATTAAAGGTAAAATTTGTGTAATTAATAAGTTTAATCCTTTTTTATTATAAGTTTAATTTTTAATTAATCAAGTTAATTATTGTTTAATCTATAATTAAACATTAACATAAAAAATATAAATTTTAATTACGCACTGCAAATATAAATTTATTGTTCATTAAAAAATATGTTTATTGTGTGGAACCCACATATAAATTCATGATTTGGTTTGGTGCATTAGCTTTTACAATGTGAAATTTACATATCATCGTTTTACATGTCATCATTTTTCTAGCGTGGAACTTTCATCTAATTAATTTTAAGAGAAAATAAGTCAGAGTTGTCGATTAGCATTTACTGTCAAATTCAAAAAATAATAAATTTTACTTTAAAGGTTAAATGCTAAATTTAGTCCCTCAACTTTACAAAATGAACATTTTTTATCCCTTAACAATTTTTTGCATTTTTTTATCCCTTAACTCTAAAAATTGCGCAGTTTTGGTCCCTCCGTCAGTTAAGTATGATGTGGCAGTTAAATAATTTCATGTGGCATTGTTTTTTAATTTTTTTGATGATGTGGCACTAATA